CCGTAATTGGAGAATGTGATTGATGACACCCAGCCCGTAATTGGAGAATGTGATTGATGACACCCTGCCCGTAATTGGAGAATGTGGTTGATGACACCCAGCCCGTAATTGGAGAAAGTGATTGATGACACCCTGCCCGTAATTGGAGAATGTGGTTGATGACACCTGCCCATAATTGGAGAATGTGATTGATGACACCTGCCCGTAATTGGAGAATGTGATCGATGACACCTGCCCATAATTGGAGAATGTGACTGATGACAACTGCCCGTAATTGGAGAATGTGATTGATGACACCTGCCCGTAATTGGAGAATGTGGTCGATGACACCCAGCCCGTAATTGGAGAATGTGATTGATGACACCTGCCCGTAATTGGAGAATGTGGTCGATGACACCTGCCCGTAATTGGAGAATGTGGTTGATGACACCCAGCCCGTAATTGGAGAACGTGATTGATGACACCTGCTCGTAATTGCAGAACATGATTGATGACACCTGCCCGTAATTGGAGAATGTGATTGATGACACCCAGCCCGTAATTGGAGAGCATGATTGATGACATCCAGCCCGTGAACGGTATTTTTGGAAAAACAGGAAGTGATGAAATGGGACTAGTTTTCGGCCTGCAAAGCTTGCAGAAGCCTGCAGAAGCCTTCCTCAAGCCTTTGGGAGGCCGAAAAAGGCCTGAAACCAGCCCAAAATCAGCTGTGAGGCGCAGTACAGGGAAGGAGGCAGCAGGATGTGGCTGGGGTGGTGGTGGGATTGTGCGCGCATGCGTAGGGGGATGCGGGGGAGCTATGCATTGCCTTCTGAGTGCTGGCAAGCGAGCGCGAGCAAGTAAGCGTGCTCACAATTTTTGGCACAGGAGCCCAAAAGGATTAGCCACCACTGAGATGTAGGAGGAGTCCAACTGCACTGGGTTCATAATTTTGCATTATGATTATTATTTTTATTTTTCAGAGGTGAGGCAGGAAGCCAGTAAATTGTCTCTCCTGGCTTGAATCGTCACGGGAATCCCAGCATCTGGCTTGCAGTAATTGCCCTTTGAAATGTCTTTACTTAGCACAATTTATTTCCTGAAATCATTAGCTAATTGGGCCACCCAGAAAGGCTCCTAAGAGAGAGATAAAGGATTCTCAGGTCCTGGCCGTGAGCAAAATCCGGAGTGGATTCCTGTTTGAGGATGGATCGAGACCAATCATGTCCTTGTGAAGATGGGTCTGTCTGCAGGGTGAGGTCAAAAGAGTCAAGATGGCGGCCCCAGCAACTTGGGCGAAGCTCTTCCTGCTTTTTAGGCCCCATGCAAATAAGGCGAAGTGTCAACCCCACCGCTGCGCCTTCCATCTTAACTTTTGCATTGCTTGATTGCAATGATTATAAAATAGAACTAGCATATACCGATAGCTCTCCACTTATAATCATTCATTTAGTGACCATCCAAAGTTACCGTCATCACCATCCTCTTTTAACGACCCCATAATCCCTTGCGTTGGGGTGGAGTCTTGGGCAACTGAATGGAGCGAACAGCAGAGTGTTTTAATGGCCGGATGCCCTACCCATTGCCAGTATGGAGTTTTGTTCAGATATATTCTCATTGTTCCCGGAAAGAGAAATATCTGTCTCTCCCTGGGATCGAACTCACGGCCTCCTGATTGTGAAGTGAGAGCTCCGCCTCTCAGGCCACCGCACAGCTCCTACCAATCCAAGTTACAATGGCATTGAAAAATGCTGACCTGGTGAGGCGTGTCAGGTACAGGCCGAAGAGGAGCAGAAAGAGAGGCGGCGAGAGGAGTAGAATCACGATCCGCAGTCCTGGATCTGGCCAAACAAACAGAGATCAAACAGCGATGGCTTAGAGTGGCAAGGACGGATAATCGTCGACTTAACAACCATTCGTAAAGGAGAATATTTGCAACTTGGGAGTTGAACTGTGAGGTCCTTGGTGCTCTCTGGAGCGTGCTTGTTTTTTTGCAGGCGTTTCATGACCTGACTAGGGAACATCCTCAGTCTAGAAGGGAGTGGGGTTTATGAGGAGGAGGAAGAGGAAGAAGAAGAAGAGGGGTTTGCTCTCAGTTTATACCCCCCCCCCCCACTGCTTTCTAACACTGATGAAGTTACCTAGCTTGGGTCATGAAATGTCTGTAAGAAAACAATCAAACTCAGAGGGCACCAAGGATCCGTCATTGTCATAGTCATCATTCTCCGCCTCCTCCTCCTCCTCCTCCTCCTCCTCCTCCTCCTCCTCCTCCTCCTCCTCCGCCTCTTCCTCTTCCTCCTCCTCCTTTCCACAAATCCCACCCTCTTCTAGTACTGAGGATGTTACCTACTTGGGTAATGAAACATCTGCCAGAAAACAAACAAATTTAGAAAGCACCAACAGTCCCACGTTATTCTCCCTCCTCCTCCTCCTCCTCTTTTTATCTCAACCCTCTTCCTTTCTATCATGGATAACGTCACCTAGTTGGGTCATGAAACATCTGCCAGAAAACACCAAGCTCAGAGAACGCCAAGGATCCCTCGTTGAAAACCCCGCTTAAGTTATTGCCTTCGTGGTTTGGTTGATTGGTAACCCCGTTTCAAGATGTTATAAACCAGTGGTTGGATAACCTTTCGGGGCTCCTGTGCCAAAAAATTGTGCACGCGCTTGTATGCGCGTGCGAGCACCCAGAAGACAATGCGCATCGGCCCACGGCCCCTACGCATTCCCACGCAAAATCCCCACCCTCCCCCGCCACCCCCTTACCTGCACTGTGCCTCACAGCTGTTTTTCAGCTGGTTTGAGGCCTTTTTCGGCCTCCCAGAGGCTTGAGGAAGGCTTGTGCAGGCTTTTCAGGCTGAAAAAATAGGCCCATTTCATCACTTCCGGTATTTCCGGAAAAACAGGAAGTGATGAAATGGGCCTGATTTTTCATCCTGGAAAGCTTGCAGAAGCCTGCAGAAGCCTTCCTGAAGACTCTGGGAGGCCGAAAAAGGCTTCAAACCAGCTCAAAATCAGCTGTGAGGAGTGCGCATGCACAGTGAGGTAAGTTTACCTGCAGCTTTTGTGCCAGCACAAATGGCTCTGCGTCCCACCTGTGATGCATGTGCCATAGGTTCCCCATCACAGTTATAAGCCATTGTTCCATTAAAAGAGAACGTCCAGTTGTATGGAAGTGACAATTCCCAGCACTCCAGGAAACTGGGAATGGTAGTCCCTAAGCAGGAAAATGAGCCGGAGAAAGTTCTTGGCATATTTCATCACCTCCTTTTTTAACAACCCCCATAATCCCTTGCAGGGCGGAGTCTGGGCCATTGAAAGGAGCCAGCAGTGTGTTTTAATAGCCGGATGCCCTTCCTGTCCCCAGTGCGGAGTTTTGTTCAGAAGATATATTCTCATTGTACCGGGAGAGAGAAATATTTGTCTCTACCTGGGATCGAACTCACCGCCTCCTGATTGTGAGGCGAGAGCTTCCACCGCCTGGCCACTGCACCACTCAAAGCTTTTGGCCTATTGGCAGGGTAATCATTGTGCAAATGGTTTGTTCTTCCCACATTACGTATCTGATATTAGCACAATTGAGAAAGTCCAGAAATATTTCACAAGAAGAGTTCTCCACTCCTCTACTCGTTGCAGAATACCTTATGCCACCAGACTCGAAATTCTACACCTAGAAAACCTTGAATTACGCCGTCTTCGATCTGATCTAAGTATGGTATATAAAATCATACATTGCAATGTCCTACCTGTCAATGACTACTTCAACTTCAACCATAACAACACAAGAGCACACAATAGATACAAACTTGAGGTTAACCGCACCAAACTTGATTGCAGGAAATACGACTTCAGCAACAGAGCGGTCAATGTCTGGAATACTCTACCTGACTCTGGTTTCTTCCCCAAACCCCAAAAACTTTAACCTTAGACTGTCTCCTATTGACCTCACCCCCTTTCCTAAGGGGTCTCTGGGGGGCGTGCATAAGCGCACCAATGTGCCTACCATCCCTGTCCTATTGTTTCTTTTATTTTTCTTTTATTTTTCTTATATGTACCCATTTCATGTATTCATAACTATGTATACACTTATACTTATTATCTTGTAAACAATTGACAATTGACAAATCAAATAAATAAATGGTGGGATATACTAACACGCGTCATCTCTTTTGCAGAGGACGTCAGGTTCAAACCAGCAGGCCGAATCAACTGGGGGCGATGTCCCCCCAGGGAAGTGGATTGCCCTCCCCAGGGGCTGAATCATGCCCGAAGATGCCGCCAGCAGGTAAGTGGGGTACAGGTGACTTTCTTTGCCATCCGTGTCCAGAATCACGTATCTGGCCAGCGGCTGTCCTTTGCTGTCGACTTGGATCCGGTGGCTGAAGCCAGCAAAGTCCAAATTTCTCACATGATGAATCAAGTTTGTTCCAAAGAGTTCGGAAGTTTGGGGCCGGGCTATCTTGGCTAGGACTTTTGCAAGCAGGTAAACGGCATCATAGATTGTCCCAAAAAGTGGAGTGACCTGCAGAAAAACACAAGCCACAAACAACAGGCTTTTGTATTTATCTTGTCTACATCCTACCTTTATTATTTGTACAAGTAACCCAAGGTAGCAAACATATCCAAACCACCTTCTTCTTCCTGTTTTCTCACACAGCAACAATCTTGTGAGGAGCTTTCGTGTCTAAGGCAGAACTAGGACTCACTGTCGCCTGGTGATTGGCTCAAAGTCATCCAGCTGGCTTTCATGCCTAAGACGGGACTAGAACTCCCAGTCTCCTGGTGATTGGCCCAAAGTCACCCAGCTGGCTTTCATGCCTAAGGTGGGACTAGAACTCACCGTCTCCTGGTGATTGGCCCAAAGTCACCCAGTTGGCTTTCAGGCCTAAGGTGAAACTAGAACTCACCGTCTCCTGGTGATTGGCCCAAAGTCACCCAGCTGGCTTTCATGCCTAAGGCGGGACTAGAACTCACCGTCTCCTGCTGATTGGCCCAAAGTCACCCAGCTGGCTTTCATGCCTAAGGCAGGACTAGAACTCACTGTCTCCTGGTGATTGGCTCAAAGTCATCCAGCTGGCTTTCATGCCTAAGGCGAAACTAGAATTCACCGTCTCCTGGTGATTGGCCCAAAGTCACCCAGCCGCCTTTCATGCCTAAGGTGGGACTAGAACTCACCATCTCCTGGTGATTGGCTCAAAGTCACCCAATTGGCTTTCATGACTAAGGTGGGACTAGAACTCACTGTCTCCTGGTGATTGGCCCAAAGGGGTTTTGTCGGGACAAGGAGTTGGCTTCATGCTTTTGGAAAGCATAGGTCAGAACACCTGGTACCAATCTATCTAGATTGGTTAGGTTTTGCCTAGAGCTACTGTGTGAATCCAGAAAAGGCAGGATTTCTATTACTAGGTTAGTTGTATTGTGTGAAGGCAGCCAGGTTGAAAATTCAGTAGGACTACGACATCCTCACAAATATATTACAGCTACTGAGTGAAGGACATCAAGGTACAGGTAGCCTTTGACTTACAGCCGTTCATTTAGTGACTGTTTTAAGCTACAACGGCAGTTGGAAAAAAAGGACTTTGACCATTCTTCACATTTACGACCATTGCAGTCTCCCCATGGTCATGTGATGAAAACTCAGACACTCGACATAAACTCATCTCGTATTTATGACGGTTGCAGTGTCCTAGGAGTTTTGCGATCTCCTTTTGCGGCCTCCCAGCAAGCAAAATCAAAAGGGCCGCCAGATTCACTTAACAACCGCGTTACTAACTGAACATCAATGGCAATTCACTTAACGACGGCGTTCATGAAGCAAGTTCATAAAATGAGTCAAAGCTCCCCTGCCTCGCTTAGCACCAGAAATTTTGGGGCTCAATTTTGGGGAGTTTATCAATCAAGGACTACCTGTAGATGAGACTGACCTGTTCTGGTTCCAAATTTGCTTTTATTTCGCCTTTTTCTTTGGCCGCTCGGAAAGCTTCGTAGAAATTCCACTCTCCAGATTGCAAGGTAATTGTCAGCACCGCGTCATAAGCCTTCCGGAAGGCGCCATCGTTTTCCAGAAGGAAGTGGGAATGGTTTCCGTAAGGGAGCCTGTAGAAGAGAGTGTCGTAGGGCACGAAGACATACCTGCCATCAGCCAGTCCCAGTTCCTGAGCTTTCTTTAGAAAGGCCGCTTGGTCCTCCCCTCCAATGAGAGCAGACGGCATGCAGAGGAGAAGGGCTGAGAGGAGGAAAGGAAGGGGTTAACACTTTCTGCTAACACAGGAAAGGAAGTGTCCTGCCCCTGTCAGAGTCTGACTCCAGGCTCCGAGGAGGAGGATGACGAACAGCTGACAGGGAGCGGGAGTGTGGCTCCGTTGGCTGTGGAGGAAACTGGGGAAGGGCAAAGTCCGGCTGGGCAGAGCAGGGAAGAGGTAGAACAAGGGAGAGGGAATTCAGAGGAAGACTCAGGCTCACCTCCCTCTTCATCTTAGGGCACGCAGGGAGAAATTGAGAAGGGAGCAACGTGGGTTGCGTGTCTTATGGGCGAGGAAAGGGCCCTGATTCCCTTCATTAGCTGAGCTGGGAATGAGAGTTAAAAAGAGATGCATGCTGAGAGCGGCGTCTGCTGGGAACAAACGTGATTTTATCTTGCATTGACTTTGGTTATCTGCGCTCCTGGCATCCTCCCAACCGTGTTATTGCCGTGTCTTCACATCCGAAATTCTTGCTCCTGCCCTGCCGGACTAATGACCTCATTTTGCCTTGATTGGAGTTTAAGTTACAGTTTGTGTTGACCATGTTTTGGACTTGATTCCCTGCAGCCCAAGGCTGTTCCTGGGAAGGTTTTTCTCCAGCCAGAAAGTAACCAGGACATTGGGGGCAAAGTTGGAGATAATAAAGGGACACTTATTGATTACCTGACTGTGTTGCCTTTGTGCCACGCCCCTTTGGGTCATCACAGAAAGGGGAAAGAAAAGCAGAACTAACCGAGAATTGGGAGGGACCTTGGAGGTCTTCTATTCCAACCCCCTGCAACAGGATGAACATCCATCCCACAATTAACGTTTCAAAGCTTGGTGGGAGACTTGAACGTTGTTACAGGCAGTCCTTGGCATACAACCATAATTGTTCTGTATGGACATTTGCATTCTTGGAATCCTGCACTCCTGATTGGCCAAACGCACAGCAACTGGATTGGTCGAGTGCGCGGCACTGATTGGCCGTTACGAAGCGACCGCGATTGGCCGAGCCGATCGCGGGCGATTCGAACGGTTGTCATTGGCTGCGGCGCCCGGCACCAGTTCAATATAAGCCGCCGCACGCTCAGCCGGCGGCAGATTCAACCTGAAATAAAAAGAGCTTTAAAACTAGTCACTGCCTCGCGTCCCTTTGTGATCGATCGGCCGATACAACCATAATTGAGTCCCAAATTTCATGAGATATTGGTTAAGTGAGTTTTGCTCCATCTTACGACTTTCCTTGCCACGTTTGTTAAGGGAATCACCGCCCTTGTTAAGTGAGTCACACGGTTTGTTAAGCGAATCCTGGCTTCCCCGTTGACTTTGTTTGTCAGAAGGTCACAAAAGGAGAATCATGCCACTCCCGGGGACACAGCGACCGTCATAAATATGAAGCATTTGCCAAGCTTCTGACTTTTGATCGCATGACCCCGGGGAGGCTGCAATGGTTGTAAGTGTGAAAAACAGCCATTAAGTCACTTTTTCCAGCTACAAAACTTCAAGCGGTCACTAAATGAATGGTATAAATTGAGGACTACCTGTACTCCGTTTCCAACTGGTTTCTGAGTTTTGCTCTATTTTTCTACTGAGCACTGGTGTCCTAGAGCAGTGACGGCTAACCTATGACACGCGTGTCACTCGTGACACGCCGAGGCACTTTGACCGACACGCCTGTTGGTGTGGGGAAAACCTGCACATGTAGAGGCTGCCTGTGCTCTGCTCCAATCCCTGCTCCCTGCTTGTTGTGTGGAGGCGTGGTGTCACCGCTGCCGCAAGATCTTTGCAGCAGAGAACCAGTTTTAACCGCCAGAAACTGAGGTTTGTCCGTTTCGTTACCTCAGAGATGGGGAAAGGAAAAAGTAGAGGAAGAGAAAGAAGGAAGGAAGGAAACAGGAGAGGGAGGAGAGAATTAGAAGGAAGGAAGGAAGGAAGGAAGGAAGGAAGGAAGGAAGGAAGGAAGGAAGGAAGGAAGGAAGGAAGGAAGGAAGGAAGGAAGATGGGAAAAGGGGAAAAGTAGAGGAAGAACTCTACGCTACAGGAAGAAAGGAGATCCGTGAGGTTCACAGCCCTGTAAGGTGGCCTTCCGATCCCCACATCCTGCACCTGCAGCCCTGAGACCAGGGAGACAAGTGTCACAGCCCTGTGTGATCCCCCTCCAGCCCGGTCCGTCATAAACCAAATTATTGATATTTCTTGAAGTGACACACGACCCGATTTTCGACACACCAAGCTGAAAAGGTTAGCCATCACTGTCCTAGAGTGTCACAAGCTGCAGTCAGCAAAATCTGATTTGCTTACTTTTTAACACATTCACAGGGAGGGAGGGAGGGAGGGATGGAAGGACAGAGGGAGGGAGGAAAGAAGGAAGGAAACAGGAGGGGGAGGAGAGAAATAGGAGGAAGGGAGGAAGGAAGGAAGGAAGGAAGGAAGGAAGGAAGGAAGGAAGGAAGGAAGGAAGGAAAAGAGATGGGGAAAAGGAAAAAGTAGAGGAAGAGAAAGAAGGAAGGAAGGAAACGGGAGGGGGAGGAGAGAAATAGGAGGAAGGAAGGAAGGAAGGAAGGAA